TTTGAGCATTTATGTAAAATTTAAAATAAATTTTACGATAATACAATATTTATGATGCAATTATATTTCATCAATGAGTTCATTTTTATTTTGAATTGTTCGTTAATATGTATTATATATAATATGTATTGCAATTTATGTTATTTAGAAATTTAGAATAAAATATAATTTTATATTAATGAAGAATTTTGAAAAAAATAATTGTATTACGTAAAGATTATAGAGTGATTATTTGCAAAAGAAGAAATGATTTATATTATGAAATAAGAAAATAAGAATGAAATATAAATAATAATATAATATTGAGGAGAGAGAAACAGATTCCTTTTTAGAGAGTAAAATAGAGAATTGGATTGGAGTTGATTGTCTGAAAAATAGAGAACTCTATATTTGGAGAGTAAAATAGAGGATTGGGTTGGAGATGCCCTTAGTTAACGTAGTGTGTATAATTTGAACTCGTAGTAGAGAAAAAAAATTCTCCCTCTGATATTTTTAATTTTGCACGTCTTTAAAAAAAGCTATGATGAAAAAAATGGGTGCAAAACTAAAGTGTATACCACTTTATAAAGCAAAGTACAATCTCTATCAGAGCTCATTGTTGAATGATTGTCATATGGAATTTGAGTGAGGCATCAAATCTTGCACGACCACTACATTTACTTGCGACTGTATCTGAGAAAATGACCACTACTTTCATTGACAGATGCATTTCATTTGTAGTCTACAAATTACAGAATGCGAATTTCAGTACTACTGTTATGTATCGTAATTATAAAAAATATCGCTATGTATGTAGCAATCGTGTCGAACTTCCCATTTTTGGAATAGTTACGTAATCTCCCTGAATAGGATCAAACCTTATTTCATGGTATTTACATGTTGGTTATCAGCAGAAAGTAGCGCTATTTGTGAAAATTCCACAAATTTAAATGATGACATAAAAACGAATATTTTTCGTAAATAAGCCCACTTAAAAGAAAAACTAAAAAGCCCAGCTAAATAAGCCCATTATCGACGGCGAAGCCCATAGGCCATATCTCCAACGTGTCTAACGACTGATAGCATCCCGGTTTGTTACCTCCATTGTCCCGTAGCTTCTACACACTCACTTTACTCCAACTTTCTACCAATAAGCTTACGCCATCAGCTATTTTCCTTCGTCAATGGCTGAAGTAGACAACTCAAAATCTCCATCTTTATCTGAGGTACTTCGTTATTCATTATCTTCTATTGATTTTTGGTCATCAAATCGTTTTTTTTTTTCATTTGATAGTCGATGATTCATCTCTGCGATGATTTTTTAATTGAAAGGAACATGTGTAGATTGTAGAGTATTCATATATCGGATCTCACTAAATTGGATTGACGCCAGAGTTGATTTATTTATTTTTGGTTTGTTCCACTGAGATTTTCTTAGATGTTTTCATCGAAAATGACAATTTTTTCTTCAACTCCTGAATGTGCAGCAATATTTACTGAAAGAGAAAGAAGAGAAATCCACCACAGTGGCTAATCCAGTGGAAGAAATTGAGGTTAAGACCTCTTCAACTGCTCCATCTGAGGAAGATACTCCAAAAACTGAGGAAACCCCAGCGGTTGAGAGTAGTGAAGCTGTGCCTGCCACATATGAAGAAAGCAGTGGAGCCTCTGACTCAACAGCACCGGAAATCAATGAAGCCTCTCCTCCTGTAGAGGCTGACGGTGAAGAAAGTACTGAAGATGATACTTCTGAGAATGAGAATCAAGAATCCGCAGATGAGACACCTGAGATTAAGGTTAGATTGACTGGACAATCAGTTTTGACTTTTGTGTACTGGCTATATCTTAACCCCATTGATTGTGTTGTGGTTTTTATCACGATTGTCAACTAGCTTGAGACTGCTCCTGCTGACTTCCGCTTCCCTACTACAAATCAGACAAGGCACTGCTTCACAAGATATATTGAATATCATCGGTCAGTAGACATAGGCGCATAGCTGTACTGCCTGTTGCTCTTTTGTGTTTGTATCTGATTTTGTAATCTATCCCTGAAGTATCAACTATATTTGGTTTGTTTATCTTTCAGATGCATAGCTGCAAAGGGTGAAGGTGCTCCTGAATGTGACAAGTTTGCCAAGTATTACCGATCCCTTTGCCCTGGTGAATGGGTATGTTTTGTTTTGTATTTTGCATTTGCAAGATTGGATTATGTATGTATGTGTGTGTGTATATACCATGTACATATTAATATGTAGTATATACATAATGTATGTGTATGTATGTATATGCTTTTGGTTGTACGCATGCTGTAATTCCAATGTTCAACTAACGTTGGGAAAATATGGGTAAAGTAGAAGTCACCAATTCACTTATAATGTCAATTCTCCCTTGGATTTGATTGAACGGAAGCCTTGAGGTTCTAAAGTGGAGTAATGGTCTGATTTTAAATTTGATTAATTGAGAATAGAAATCACTAAATTTTGAAATGTTAATTTCTCAATTGGTTTAAAAGTAGAGTTAATGGTCAAAAACACCCCCTAAATTATCACTTTTTCGCGAGTTTCATACCTCAACTATTTATTGTTCCCTTTACCTATCTAAACTCAATATTGAATTGACCAAATATTTATTTCCAATCCATAACAGGTGCATGTAGGCCAACTTAGCATCTAGGTTTGTTCTAATACAAAGGGAGTGATAGTTTAGGTAGTTTAATGGAACAATGGATGGTTTGAGGTATGAAACTCGTGAAAAAGGGATAGTTTAGGTGTGTTTTTGATAATTGCCTTTTAAAAGTATTCTGAATCCAAAACTTGCTTTATTAGCATTTTGCGAGTCAGCAATTAAGATTCTTGATGCTTTTTCTTGATAATAGTTCAATCCCAAAATGCGACACCAAACCCTTTATACAAAATCATTGAAGAAAAGGATTTGAAACGCTTTTCAGATGATGGAAGTACACAGGTGAAATTTGGAGAGTTAAAGAGACCAATTGGGTATTGACTTCTGTGGAGTCGAGTATTGTTAAAAGTGGTCTGTAGTGGTGAGTTTAGTTGGTCTAAGAGATGTCTTGGGATCACTTCTAGAGCTTTGTATTGGTGTTGATATAGATTATAATTTGCTGACGGGTTGAGGGTTTTAGCAGAGTGGTGTTCCAATTGCATGGCAAAATTATTGCAGATGAGTTCCGAAGCTCTTGGATCATCCGTACTTGGGGCTGTGGTTGTGTTAGATCTGGCTTAGCAAGCTATGTGGTTGCCATTGCGTGAAAACTATGATTCAATTTAAAATCCCTGCTCTGACATAATTTTTTAGACTAAACAAGTCTATGACACAGTAAGACGAAGATATGAATCTCTCTATGAGCAAGTGGTTGGGTAATACTTAAAGGGGCAGCAATGAATGAAACCAATGTGCCTATTCTCTAGAGAATAAACAGACGAGTGGAAACAATGTATCTATTATTTTGAGGGAGCAAAAGTAATTGTTGGCATGTTTGATATATTCTGGTCACTGTGTGATATTTGACCTCATAAGTCTCATCCGTCAACAAGAGGCGGTGTAGACTTAAAGGGATAATGTGCTTCTTTTGGCTTTTCCTTTTGACGATAACATGGTTTGCTTTGATTGTGAGCTGCAGATTGATAGATGGAATGAGCAGAGGGAGAATGGCACCTTTCCAGGACCACTGTAAATTGCATATTTTGATTCCAACTTTGCTGCATCTAAACTCTCAAATGAATAGGGAGAGTTCTCTGTGAACAAATTGTGATCAATAATGCTTTGCCTTTCTAATGGATTTAGTGTAAGCTTATAATGAGTGAATTGTTTAGGATCCTTACTTGTAATAACTTAGAATACAAATATCTCTACTCAACTCTTATACTTGTTAATCATCCAGTAGAACCTGTGACACTTCAAATATTCTGTTAGAGAATCAACATCAATAAATCCTTCTGTTTTTTAATCATCACACTGTTTATCTTCCTCTTGACGGAGAGCCTTGGAGCAACGTAAAGTTGTCTTCGTGTGGGTCAATGAGTAATGGGTTCGGCTCTTCCTTGGACCATACTAACATGAGGTGTTTTGTGTACCGGATTGTTCTTTTTCTTCTACGGTCCGTCTTCCTTGTTATACTAACACCACCCACCTCATCCCAAAAATGATGCTTTTTAGGGATTTGTGTACTCAGATCAGTCGTGAAGTCATTTTCAATTTAATAAGCACACAAGAGTTTGCACCGACAATGCTAAGAATTTTTTCAGTGCAAATTTGATGTATAGAAATTGAACTCAAGTGTATAAAACAAATCAATAACTATATGTTAAATGTAATAAAAATTTATTACTCCCTCCGTTCCATTTTATTTTATGTGGCACTTATCGAGCTAACATACATAATCTCAATTGCAGCACCAACCCAAGTTCAGGCTGTTTTCTATAGAAATAGAATATTGATTAGACAGATAGCATGGGAATATTTGTGTATGACAACATAGAAATCTGGTGGTAACAGATTTACATAAAATGCCTAACGAAACCTATCCGTTGGCTTGGTTCCTGAAGTAGATCCTTTTCTCTTTCTAGGCAATCCTTGCCTGAGCAACGAAAACCAAAGAAACAAGATTAGTTAACAAAAAAATTACAATAAGTAGAAGCAATGACATTATGCAGACCTCAGTTCAAGTTCAAAAATGCAATATCTTGGTACACAAGGCTATTTTTGAACTAATACGAGTGAAACAGAGCACTTTGTGGCTTTAAAATAGATGTGGTAACAATCATGCCGCGGACATGGAACATGGAACAGTCTAAGCACGTCCTGTTCCACAATTACACAAGAGGAAAAGGTACATGATTGACAAAACAGAGCATTCGCATTGCCATCAATCTGATTCACTCTCACTTGAAGGTAACAAATTGTACTTTGACATACCTTCCTCTCTGAATATCAATAACATGATTTGAAAGTTCCGTCCCTTCTTTCATCATACCAAGCTCAATTTTGTCGAAAATCCAGACAAGAGCTTTCCTGATGATACAAGGAAAATATTAGAAAACAAATTACATCAGTTTTTCCAAGGGTGTGACTTAGTGATCAATGAAGTGAGTTGAGGATCATGAGGTCTCAGGTTCAAAAACGAGTGTGAGGGAGGTTCACAAAATAGCTACTTTTCTGCCTTGTAAATGAAACACAATCATTGTCCTGAGGGAGTCCTGATATCTTGGAGTTCCTGCTGTGGATGAATCTTGACGATAATGACTATTTTTCAAAGATAGCCAAAAGATGGCCATTGAACACCATTTTTCTATGTTATAATACATGCATTTGATTCTTAAGGCGATAAGCCAAGTGATCTTTTAGAGGGCTTGACTACGACTACTTCTACTTCATTTGTCTCATTTTATGTGGCACTGGTTAATTGAACATGTAAATAAGAAAAGTAAAGGAAAACTTTTTGGATTTGTAATCTTAATTATACCATGTTTGTGTCCATAAAACCTTGTAACTATGGGTAAATAGAAAATTTAAAATTAAGTTATTTCATCAATTGCATTATTGTTACATTTTTTAAGGATATGACACGGATACAGGGTAGCATTTTTAGAGAGCGGTGATCCCAACTGCACCACCAACACAAGTTCAGGTTGTTCTCTCCAGACATAGAATATTGATTTGGTGTGTCATTTAGACTATACAATAGCATGAGAATCGTTTGTGTATGCCAACTCCCTTTGACATAAGCAATCTGGTAACGAATTTACATAAAATGCCTCTTCTGAACGGAACCTATCCATTGGCTTGATTCCTGTAGTAGGTCCTTTCCTATTTCTAGGCGATCCTTGCCTGAGCAATGAAAACCAAAGGAACGAGATTAGGTAACATATTGTTGCTTCTTTGTTAGAACATCAATGAACAAATTGTACTTTGTCATACCTTCCTCTATGAATAGCAATAACGCGATTTGAGAGTTCCTCCCCTTCTTTCATCGTACCAAGCTCAATTTTGTTGAAAAGCCGGACAAGTGCTTTCCTGATAGATACAAGGAAAATATTAGTAGGTAATTCTAATACTTGTAGCAGACGAAATACTAATACTGATAATGCATGTTCAAGGAAAAAGATGTTTGCCTATCAGGAGATACTGTTTTCCTATGCCCAAGAAAACGACGATGTCCCTCAACTGCTCTTGCCATATTCCCAGAGTACGATGGAATGAATACGTGACTCTCAACTGACACAATATAATCTATTGCAGCCAATTGAGATGCATGCTTTCTGAATGGTTCGAGTTCCTCATCAGATGCCAACTTTTCCTGTAACATGGAAAAAACACGAAATTGTTTCTTTTTATAAGCATGTAGTAGACATGAACATGGAGGTAAAAATATTGAATTAGGTAATGAAGATGAGTTTTGGTGTCTTTGTAAAATGTAATATATCATCAACTTTGAATCGTTCATTAAAGAACAATTTTTGAGACAAACCTTGTTTAATAATAAGGGATAGCGCGACTGTAGATCAGACATATGAGAATCACCTCCATATATCTCTCCAGCAGCAATATAAATCCGGGTGTTCGATGTGAACCCCAGAGCAGAAAGGAACAACCCGGCCTCCCTAGGAGTTAACGGACAATAGCCTTTGGCTCTCTGTACTACAGGGTTAATGTCTTTCACTTTCCACCATGGGATGCTTTCCCTACAAATGTACGAGGACATCATTTGTCGAAAAGATGATTAAACATGACGAGTACTTATGGTGAAATTTAGCTGTCATCAGTATCAATCTGTAAACATAAACTGATATAACATGGATAGCCTCCATGGTCTGCATAGTAAACATAATCTGTCATCATTTTGTGACTCTGCTATGTATGCATGTTCTTCAACTAATTTCGTGTTTATATCCTTAAAATTCCGAGTATTCTACTTAAAAACTTCATCCCACGGGAACTAAACAACACAAAAAATAGTGAGCAGTGCAAGCATTAACCACAAGCATATGCTTCTGAGTTCTAATTTCAGGTCATAATAACCTACCTGATTGCCCTTAATTCATCAGTTTCTTTTGGGGATAGCTCATGTGTGCATCCACTAAAGGCAAGCATGTCTTTTTCGTAGCGTAAATGTAAAGCAATATATGGACCATAGTGTCGCATCCTATCAACCAACAACTGCAAAAAAAAAAAAAAAAAACATATGATATGAATGATTGTTTGATAATTAACCGGCGGAGATAGTACTAAAACAAAAACAAAAAAAGTTTCAACAACATGATCACCTTTCCTATCGCTTCAATTGGGGGAGCAAATCGGAGGGCTTGATAGCAAGCGCGACAACGCAACTTCTGAATATCAGGAGGCAGGTTGTTATTTGCCAATCTTGAATCAGACTTGGCTGCTCGAATCACCTAAAATGTTAAATGTTAGATGAATTAGCCAAAAACAAAAAAAAATTTGTTTGTGTTTTATTTGTGTGAAGAAAGGAGTGGAGTCACCATTGAAGTTACAAGCTCGGTAGAACTCAGTAACTTTGGCTCAAGGTTTGATCCCGTAAAATTCATTTCATATCTATTCAGAACCCGTAAATAAAAAACATTGTGATCCAAAATCCATAAATCAAAAATCCTGACTCTGCCTCTGTGTGAAATACCTTGTATTCATCCCACATGCTAGCTATCTCCTTCTCATAGTAATCTACACCAGACCAACTTCTGAAATGCTTAACTACTTTAGTTGCAGATGCAAGTTCTTTCGGTAGCTTTTTGACAATCGTTACATCATTTGCCAAAGAATTAATGAAATAATCTTCATCAAACACATCAGAGAAATTGCTGCAGTTTAGGAGGAAGGCGTTAGTACGTCAATCAACATACACAACTGATTAATTCGAAGAAAAAAAGGATGAAAAGACGCTATGTAAGCGTGAAATGCCAAAGGAATTATCATTTTGCACACCTAGAATCCTTCCAAAGTGAGCCCTTATCAAGCTCTGGGATTACAAGAGTAGCATTTATGATACGAGCAACAGCAACCATGTCACATATCTGCAAACACAATGAAAAGCCGAACAAATTATGCACAAACTTGTCTAAACTTAGCATGCCTGCTCAACATAATGAAAAAAAGTATTCACCTAAAAATGATTAGCTAGAGAGAAATGATTTAGGATAAAACATGTCTAAGCTGGCTTATGGAAGTAACTGAAATAGAAACTAATAAATGTTACAATATCACAAGAATTTTAGAAACACACACGAAATTTCTGTTGCCCATCATTCATTCGACATATTCAACGTAACAATTTCATACGTGAAAAGCAGGAAACAGGACAAGAGAGGGGAAGGGAAAGAGTGAATAGGCATAATACTGGTTTGTATGATCATAAATCGATTTTCTCAATTTGGAAAAAGAAATCGACAGATTAATAGGATAAGGGAGTAGAAAAATACAGACCCCTGCCCTCATCTGATTGAGTCCACCATTGGCATGAACGAGCAAGTAGCCTCGAGACTCTGGAGGAGCTGGAGATTAAAATGCACTATGAACGATAAGCAACAGAATAGTCCTAATATGTTTGCCACAAGGCTGAATTAAAGCTATTTTTAAGAAATGACTCACATTTATATAATGAACTTGGTGCAACACAGTGAACATAGTCTTTATTCGGGGGCGATTTCCATAAATCTTCCACAGTCCAATTCTGTCAAATCTAAAGGAGTGAAAACATGAAAGATATATAACTAGTACTTTGTATCAAAAACACTGAGCTATTGTACTCGAGAAATTCATATAATGAAATATAAAAAAAATAACTCTAATATGTTTTGTAAGTGCATATAACCTTGCTAGCAGTAACTGGAGCTTTCGACAACTGGGGTGTGGCAAGTTCTTGAGTCAAGATTCGCTCTCCGCTCAATCTTTGGTACCAAAAATCATTGTGCTACAAATATTAAAGACACACCAGATGACTGATCAATACTAAAATCACAATGATCAAAGCCTAAATAACATAAATAACAATAAGTACACCTCAATCCCAAAGCTAGTTTGGGACGACTATATGAATCCTTTATATCCATTCGACTCAGTTTGAGCCAATTTCATTCAAATATTCAGTAATTTGTCTTAAACAACAACAACATACCCAGTGAAATCCCATTATATTGGTCTGTGGAGGGTAGAGTGTACACAGACCTCACCACGACCTCATAGAGGTAAATAAGTTGTTTCCGAAAAACCCTCAGCTCAAGTGCATCAAACTCAAGTAATAAACGAAGAAAAGCATAGTAATAATAAAACAACATTGTAAAGTTTACAAGAAAGAAACTAGTGTACGACTAGTACGCACTAACAAACCTAAGCAAGACACCCTCTATTCCTACTAACAATATACCCTAATACTTAAAATCGACTCTTTCCTATTTAAAGTAATTTATCTTAAACAAGAAAAAAAAAACAAAGAAAGGACTGGTAAAGTATTTTTCCAATATCAAGAATCCCAAAACATAAATGTTAATAGAAATACTTATCCAATATCAATACTTTCCATATTGAGACAAAAAATACTTAAATGAAAGATCAAGAAAACAGAACAAAAAAACAGAGTTTTTTCTTTAATTTTTGTACCTTACAAAGATTAATGGTTATATCAGTGGAAGGGACATGAACATGCATACATAGCAGAGTCACTAAAGCTACAACATTAACGGCAAAAACATAATTTAGCAACTTTCGAAAAATCACCAACTTCCTCTTCCACATTCTTTTCTTCTTCTGCATATTTTTTTCACCGTTTATGAACTAATAATTTTCTTTTCTTTTTTGAGTCTTTGTGAACTAATAATGACGTTTCTTTTTTTGTATAGATTTTGTAATCTTTGTTCCCTTTCTACCTTGGATTTCTACCTGATATAAGGGATTAGTTATATTTTCAGTCAACCAAATTATAAATTTAATTTTAAATTTTGTTAAAATGGTTACAACTTTAACCACCAATTTTTGTCTACTAATAAACTTTTTTTCTTTTGAGGTTTTGTTATATTTTAATGCAAAAAAACTTATCGATAAGGCGTAAAATGATATTTAAAATCATGAAAAAAAAACTAATTTATATATATGTATATAAAAAATACAAGTTATTTACTATTTATTATAAATATTTAGAATTTAGAACTAAACAATTCAAATTATCATATTAATAAATAAAGTTTTTACAATAATATCAACATCTTATTAATTAGATTCAATTCTTATTATTATAAATAATATATAGGAATAGAAAAAGAAAAGGCTATCTTATTATTATTATTGTGCTATATATTTACGATTCATTTTGATTCTTTTCTTTATTTTCTTTTTTGGATTGGGTATTCTGATCTTTTTCCCATTTTACATGGAATCTCTACCTTTTTATTCGGAGATTAGTTATATTTTTAGTCAACTAAATTATAAATTTAATTATGAAATAGTAGTCCTTATAATGGCAAACCTCATGGAATTGAGATACAAGTGGAAGATAATTTTTATATCAATAGGATAACAATTGATACATAATGTATCAATTGTGCCATTGATTGATATATATAGATAAAAGTTTAATGCAAGAATTGTGTTCTTTTACAAATATTTAATATTAAATTGTCTAATAGGTATAAGTCATAATTAAAGTATCAAAATAAAAAATCATGGCAAATATATACTTGGCCTTTTGGTTTACTTGACATAGTAAAGGTGATATTGGAGTTGTTGGAATTGAAAAATGGGTTTAGGATGGAGAATTACACTTATGCATAATTACATATATAGCTTAAAATATATTAAAGAAGCACTTAAAAGTTTGGTATTCTTAGTGCTAATTATATGGAGATAGAATAGATTCAAACCACAAGAATATCCAACTAACCTAAACTATATACTAATTATTAAAGCACCAAGAAATGAAGAATAAACATGCTAGTGCCAAATGGACTTAGTTTATAAATAACAATCATTATTGGTGAAATGAGTAGTTCGGTTCATTTTTCACTCAAAAGCTTTCACTTTGAATTATTTGTAGAAGACATGAACCAACTAACAAATTTACCTCCTTTTCGCGTAGACACGAAATATAAAATTAGTTTATAAAAATATGACTCATTTAATTCGTTCCGTCAATAGATATTAATGATCCAAATTTAACCTATTTGGGATAAGTATATGTCACTCAAATTGACCCATGAAAAACGTTAGCACAATATTTTAATAGATCTTTCTTGTTTGATATATATGTGGTATATACTATTATAAAGAAAATAGAAATTTATTAGTTTTGTCTGGTAACTAAATAAATTTTAAGAAAAATAAATAAATAAGTCAAAATTTGAAAGAGCTTTGGCAAGCTATGTTATGATCTAGTATTATTTAGCTCATTTTAACTCAACCAACTAACCTTTTGAGCAGGGGGTGGGCATAAATATCGGAAACCGAACCGAACTATTTCGGTTCTTCGGTGTTGGGTTTTTTTTCGAAACTTCGGTTCGGAGTTCAGTGTAAGGGTCCTGAAACTACGGTGCACCGAAGAACCGAAGTTTTATTAAATAAATTTAAAAATATTTAAATTATATTATTTAATAATACTTATATATTTTGACTCAAAATATTTACCTGGCCCATTTCAATTTTTAACTTTACCTGTCCCATTTCAATTTTTAAATTTTGGAGCCTAAACAAAACAGTAAAGGGCACACTTTATCATTTACACTTCAAAACAATAAAGGGCACCCAGCCTAAACAAAACTATTTTGATGTTAGTACTTTTTATTGTTAGACTGTTAGTTATTACTTTGAAGTTTGACGTGTGAAGTGAACAACAATTGTTACTTTATCATATTCCCTCTTTATTTTTATTCACACCGAAAAACCGATTTAAAAATACCGAACCAAAGTAGAAAAAACCGAACCAAACCGATCTAGTTTGATTTGAAATATGGTGCACACTTTTCTAAAACCGAATACCGAAGAACCGAACCGAACCGAAATTTGATTAAACCGAACGCCCACCCCTACTTTTGAGTAATAACTCATTTACTGATTCAACTCATTTTATCTTAGCCTAGATTTTGCCTAAACCTCCCTTTGTCACTCCTATGTTTGGACCAAATCAATAAGAAACCTTCTAAGTAATATTATTAGGCTAAAACTTATAGATACATGCATTATGGACACCAGGATGCTTATCGATCGGTTTGATTTAAATGTGAATATGATCGATTATTAGGTTTGTAGCATGAACAACTGATAATTGAACTAATACAATTTTGATTATCAAATCAGATATCGAGTTATTGATTATCAATCGTTAATGATTTAGTTATCGAGTTACCCAATAAAAGTGTCTCAGATCATTTTCTACCTAAGTTTGTTAGGCTTTGTAAGGCATAACTTAGGTTATATTTGTGGAAATGGCCCATCAATGACCAACACTAGGCCCAACTATGAAAGTTGGAACCTCATAAAGTCAAGATTATCATACTATTTTAAGTTTTCCCGGTCCAACAAACAGGACACGTACAAATATAGTATTCTCTCCGTCTCAATTAATGTGACATTTTTCAGATTTTGAGATTCATCAAGTTTATTTTTGATCATAAATTTTTTATATATTCTCTTCGTCCGTTTTTAATTGTCATGTTTTCTTTTTTAGAGTCAAACGATAAGAACTTTGACTAACATTTTACAATGTATTTTTTTTCATCATATTGATATGCAAAAAATTGCAATTTATAGTACTTTTCATATAATTTTTGAATATCTAATTTTTTTATTTAAAATATCAAATTAATGTAATCTAATTTCACTTTGAAAATTAGTCAAATTGACTTTTGAAAAGCGTAACATGACAATTTAAAGTTGACGGAGACAAAATCTTTTAATTATTCTGAATTATCAATTATTGAGACTTTTAATATTGTTTATGTACTTTACAAATATATAAATTTAATTTCAAAAAAATTGAGACCGAGTAAGTTGAATGCCAAATGTAAAGAAAACACAATTTGGAGAGAAACAAAAGGAAAAGGAGGTAGCCTACCAAGCTTGCTGGTCAAGTTGAGATCCTTTTCTGTGGGAACAAGTAAACTTATAATAACAAGAAATAAAGATGAGACGCCGACAAAATCGTGGAATTATCTCCCTAAGTGACATAGTCCGTGAAATCCTACTAAGTGAGATGAAAAAGATAGAGTGTTTCGTAAACTTTATCATTATCTGTGAAGGTAAATTAGACAATTCTATTAAATGAGAGTTATCTATTTTTAACATTGTGTGTGGTACTATCACTTTCTAACTCACATTCATATCTGATATCTTTTCAAAAGTCACACCATTAAAAAAATATTCTTAAATTTTATAAGAGACTTTATTTTCACCTAATATATATATATATATATATATATATAAAACAATTATAATTATTCGTGATGACTATACACCTGTTATGAAAAAAAAAATCTCTATACAAAATGTACCCACATAATTAATTAATGTTGAAAAAGAGAACACGTGGTTTGGATTATAGAATGACACTGTAGAATAAATAGTAAACAATTTCATTTACTGCGTGATTGACAACATGATTTTCTTCTTGTTTCTTTTTCTAGGCGTGCAAGAGTACTCAACTTTAATAGATCTTATAGGAAATTGCTGAGAACTTACCATAATTATAATTGAAAATTTCTTCTAAGCATGCATGGAAAATGTTGAACATTTCATATATAAATAAGTTTAATTTCTGCAGAAAAAGCAAATCATGAAATACTTAAAAGTCCTAGTATATGACTGACTTGTCAGCATAAACTTTACTAAAGAAAAAAGACTTTTAAAAAATGTGGTATTAACAACTGCGGTTGTTTCATGTTATTTGATCTATGTTGTTTTGATATATTCTTTAAAAAAAATTAGTTAGAAGTGTATTACTAAACTAACCTTAATAATGATATTTTAGAACTGTAAATTTGACTATTACTACGTTATATAGTTATTTGATACTCCCTTTGTCCCTAATTATTGTTTATGAAAATAGTTATTGACATAGTGAGTTTACCATTTTACTCCTATTAATTATGAAGTAGATGAATTAAAAATTTAAGATTTTCAAGAAGTTTTACCTTTTTCAAAGTAATTAATTGAGGGTATAATAGGTAAAAAAAATTGTCCTTTCTTGATTTGTCAAAATTGACAAGTAATTAGGGACAACTAAAAAGGAAAAATGGACAAGTAATTAGGGACAGAGAAAGTACTAAGGGTAGTATGAGACAAAACAAAAAGGATAAACAACACAAATCTGACTAGTTTAGGAGCTAATTATTTAGATTCACGTAAATTTTCAATATTACGAATCTTATTAGAATTTGGATTTCAGATACATGTATCTCGGATACATGAAGTCAAAATTAATTTTAATTTGTTCTAGATAATTATATCCAAGTAGATCCACATGTATCTACTCTCTCTCGCTCGCTTCTTTCCTCTCTCGCTCGTCACTTTCCTCTCTCCCTCTCTCGCTCACCTCTTTTCCTATGTATCAAGTGTCCCAAATACATGTATCTAATATGATTTGTATGTATATAGGATACATAAACTATCTTGCTCGCCTTTCTCTCAATTTTAGTGTATTTGGTAGCAAAAATACATGTACAAGTGTATATGACTTGAAATTTGATATGAAAAATTAATTAGTGAGACAATATATATGTAACTATTTCAAACTACACAGCGAATTAGTAAATATACTAGGAATGTTT